TAATAAATTATAAATATTTTTCAAACAATGAAAGGAACTTAGACAAAAACATGATTATATATTATCTAGCGTTTTAACTGCCTTGTGAAAAGGGCAAAGACTATGTATAGAGAACACTTGGCAAGTCTTATAAATAGATATTAACAGACTCTCTTAATAAGTCTGACAAGGACTGATCATTTTACTTTTACACAACCAATATTTAATACTTTATGTGTGTGTGTCAAAAAAAAATCCTGTTAAATACTTTAATTTGTCTTGCTACTTTACAAAACATACAAATATATAGCTGTATTTTGAAAAGCTCCAGACATGCAGCCTTAACACTTGTTTTTGGTTTACGAAGGTCCACAATTTTCACCATCCTGTTCTGTAACACCCTAATTAACTACAACTGGGCAGAACCCAAATCGAACTTGAATCCACCTTGATCAGATTCCAATTGATTAGCCGTCAGTTCAGCCTGAGGGCATTTGTCTCATTTATCACTTCAGTAACTGTGTTTCTAACAATCTTTTGCAACTCCCAGCCCTGGAATTGCATCAAGTTTCTTTTGCATTTAAGCAGGCAGAAGCAATTAGATTGAGCCAATTTAACATCCCTGCAAGTATGTTGTTTTTGTATGCCGTGGCTATTTGGCTCTCCCTTAGTGTGTCTCAGGTGGTGTATCAGGTCACAGCCTGGTTGCCCATTAAAAATGAAACACGGGTTCTTAATTACCGACTGGCGCTTTTGGCAATCATGGCAGCACTCATATGTCGCTGCCCTCCGTCACTCTCTCCATCTCTCTTTGGCTCCCCTCATTTTCAATTGGCCTCTTTATCTCCTAGTCTATCTTGCTTGCTCAAGCTCCCCTCCTCCGCATCCCTTCATTTCTCAGGGTTGACTGCAATAACACACTGGACCAGCAGTTTATGTTTGCTCCCCTCGCCCCGAGTCCAACCCAGCCACAATTACTTCCTGTGGTTCACAGTAGTGGGTCACTGCCATCTGCCAAAGGTATTTACAGCTGAAATTACACACACCGTGTTCTCAAACAGTTCCATTATCGTTCATTTCATCTACAGGCTTTGTTGAAGGTAGGTGTAATTATAAACCCATGCATCGAGTAAGAATGGTTGAGAAGCCGCCCAGTGCATAAACTCAGTTAGTGCAGTCCACAAACTTTTATGTGGTCTGTTAGATTTTGTGCAACCTACAAAAAGCAGTGCCTAATTGAGGCGCCAAAGGATTTTTTAGCATCCTTGGAATTGAAAACCTTAAAGCTCTCTTAGTACTCAGAAAAAAAAAAAAACTTTTACTGTTTTTAGAGCCATTTAAAGTACATGCATCTACCAGCTTTGCACATTTAGACACTTCCAGATTTTCTTTGCAAAATAGCAATGCCTCAGCTTGATTAGATGGACAGTTTCTGTGAGCATCTATATCCCATTACTGCAACAGATTCTCTATTGAATTTAGATGTCCTGCTACCTTTTGGCATTTTCTTTTTTTTGTATAGATAAAATCCCCTTTCATTGACTTTGACTTTAACATTGACTACGCAATACCTAGTGTTAGTTTCCACCCAAACTTTACCTTTTGCATGAAGCACATTCATTTAGCTTTACTTACTGCTATAATAAGGCACTATGTTCTGATGGTCTATCACAAAATTTCTGTGTAATACTGTATGTTAGATTTTCTGAAAAAAAAAGTGTGATGTTCAAAAGAGTAAATAATCCAAGTGGTAAACATTGTCATGCAACATGATTAAATAAGAACACTCAGACATGATGTATATACCTAATTCTCACAGTAATGATTGTTATAAAAAATACTCTGACCTGTGTGATAACTGTTCAAAGTTCACTGATTAAAAAAAGAAGGGTTTTAAACAGGTAGCTGCAGAGAAGGGATAAACATAGGTAGAGAGATGAAATGGAAATCTAAAAGTTCATTCACTGTTGACCAAATTGGATTACAGAGCATGAAAGCCTGTTTTCACCTGTAGAGGGGGGAAAACTGACAAGAAAATATATCACACCAATTTGCAAAGGAGAATCAAATAAAGGCTCTCCATAAATTTACTTAAGTTGTATGATACGTTATAATAAAAAAAGAAGACAGACAACAGCTGAACAAGATCAGACTAATTACAGAAAGAAAAATAGCAAAGCCATACTGAAACAGAGGAAAGATCTTATAAAAGAAACCTGCCATGAACAAAATGAAACTAAGACATAGAAGACATTAACTAATGACAAGACTAAAAAATCAAAGCTAGTCACTGAACAAAACAGAAAATTCTTAAAGAAATAAAACCCAGCGATGAAAAAAAACAACAACAAAAAACAGAAATAATTTACCCAAAGTGCAAGCTAGACATCATATTTAAAGTACACATAAGAGAAAAATAACATAAAAATAAAGAAATCAGAAGTACTCCAAACTATGATAAGTTTTGCAGATAATCATGGCTGCAGCTTCTAACCCAAAGCATTTCACAATCTCCGCATGAGTGGCATTTCTGGTCTGCTAACAAATGAGCTTTTTTTCCCTCTTTTCTTCTGTTCTCTCTCTTCCTCATGAGAAAACAAGTAAGGAAATTCAAGTGAATTAAAATCTATTTGTTCCCCCCTTTCTTGTCAGGTTCTTTTCCCTCTCTCCCCAACTCGATTTTCCCTAATTGTGCTCTGCCGTTCTAGTCTTTCTTTGCAACTAGCTTGAAATTCATTAGATTGTATTTTTTATTTTTATTTTTTTTTTTCATTATAAAATTGCATTTTCCTCGATGGAAAGGGACTGCTCTATAGCAAAAAAGGACAAGTTTTTGTGCCTCATAAGCTGGCTAAGACTTCTTAGCACAAACATCACACTTAACATTTGCTTTGGAGAAATAGAGCACTATGAAACAAACAGAATGTTTTCATATTGTCACAGCTATTTTTTTCTACTGTTATTACACCTATAGGGATTTTTTTTTCCTACTGGCTTCCGTTTCTATTATACAACAAATGTTTGACCAGCCAAGTGAAATCTGCATGAATATTTATACCAATTTATTTGTCGAGTGTTGATTGTAATTGCATGGAAACATGATTTATTGCCAAGATTGCTGTGTTATTCAGTCAGCCAGAGAAACAGAACTGGGGTGAAATAAATAAATAAATGAAAAAGTATTGTGTTTTATCCTATCAGGCACATTGAACAAAATAATAGTAATTCTAAAGTAAAAAAAATAAAAATTAAATATAACACTGCAATAGCGAAGGGAAAAAAATAACATAGTTTATATGTTTCTATTTATTTTACATCAGTTGTTTAGAACAGTACAGCTAGCTAACTGGTATTCATGTCATTTTTTTAGGTTTCTATTCTAGTCTAATGTTCAAGCTGGTTGCCACCTAAATTTAGAAACACAGCAAAATCATTGGACAACCAGTATTTGCATTTATATATGTAGCCAAGAAAAATATATTGACATTAGCCTATCTAATTCTGTCAAAGAAGACATTAAAAGTCTGGTTTTATTATGTTTGTTCCACACTGTTTTACCATCAATACTGTAGATGTATTTATTTACATGTCTTTTTAGCTTTAATCCATTTTAGTTATCTAAACAGAAGCATTTGGAACCTTTTCTGTCGTTTTATGGAAAGAGTTCTGCCTTGGTTACTGTGTTATGAACATTTAGACCGGTCATGAAATACTGTTTGCGTTTGCATTCTTAGTAGGAGCCAACAAATTTTTTCATGTGGCTAAGGACAGTTCTTTAAGCAAAGACAAAAGTATTTTCAAAAAAGAATCTTAGAAGCTACAGTATCAATGTTTCTGATTGATGAATGATTTTCTTCCAATTTCTATCATATAATGCTTGAGTCTAATGTTTTAGGCCACCTTAAAAAGAGTTAGAACTTATACCTATACCTCTAAAATCTGCTTTTTGTAAAAAAAAAAAAAAAAAAAAAAAAAAGATATCTGACATTTACCATTTTAAATTGCAATCACTTGAGGCTAACCATTTCATCTTCCTCAGGTGAGGGAATTAAGGGAACAAATGTGTGATGAGGCTGGGCAGAACATTTTTTGAGTAATGAGCCTCTGCCCCATGTAATACTCTGCTGATTGAACAAGGAAGTGGCGATGACAGTGGGAGGAGAAGGATTGTGAGCAAAAGGAGCTTTGCACCAGCAAGGTGCATGGACATTTGCAGCAGCATAGGCGAGCTCTGACAGTGTTTGTATCTAATTAATGAATGGCAATAACAATTTGTTATGTCATTTACTGTTATAACGACCAAGCAGAGTCTTTCATTTCTCACTTCATGCTCATTCTCCCAGTATCATTCCTCTCTGCCATTACCTTTGTGCTGCTTCTTATTGGGACTGAGAGCCATAGGAAGAAAACTGAACAGGCGTAGACAGTGAGGAATAGGCCTTTGTCTCACTGATATGCTGTCAGTAGTAGTAGCATACATATGATGTTCTTCCATAATATGCTGAAGCAGAGGTATTGTAATGATAGCCTAAACTTTCCTCTCACCTAGCTGAACTCTTTGTGTGGTAACGTGGCAACAAGTGGCTTTGCCTCTGTATGCTTCCAATGTTTACCTTCTAGCTTTGCTTTCTTCTTTAAAATCAGGTCTTCCTTCTTACTTTCAGTGGTCAAATTAGTCTTATAAAACACAGGGTCTGCTTGGTTGCCAAGGTTTTATACAACTGAGGCAAATGTTTCTTGCTAAAGTCTTGCAACTGTCTTGCTCTGTTCCTGTGGAAGTTAGATTGGGAAGGGAGGGTCAGATTACCTGTTATCACCATTAAAGGATCCTTTAAATTCTCGCCTATTCACTTCCGCACTTCTTTTGACCCCTTTTTCCCTATATCCTTAATATGCTTATCTGAAAGCCCCTGTCTTATTTTCAGCGGAGCCAACTCCCGAAATAATACCTTAAAAAAAAGAAAAGCTAGCCAAACTAGTCCCTTTTATAGTGACCCCCGGACATTTGGTTTCTCTTGTAGCCGTTTCGTCGAGTGACCTTCTCGGTGGTGAGCCAGCCCCAGGACCCTCACCAGCAGGGATCGCTGCAGAGCTGCTACGACAGTGGCCTGGATGAATCGGAGACACCTAGCAGCAAGAGTTCTTCGGGCCCCCGGCTGGGCGCCCTTCCCCTGCCTGAGGACAGCTACGAGAGGACAACGCCGGATGGCAGTGTCGGTGAGGCAGAGCACATGGAAAATGGTAGGGGCAAACACAGAAAGGAGATTAAGAATCCGCTAAGACATAGGAAGCACACACGCACATTTTGGCTTTAGGTTTCTTACAGGGTCTTCAATGGTAGACAGCCTCACAAACAGACAGGGATGTCCCTAATTCAGATTTGTGATTGTATCAGTTAAGGTGAGCTTTCATTTTTGTAATGTAGCAGCTCTGGTTGTAGCGGTTTTGTTATTAGGAAACATCAGACTTGTCTAATCGAAGAAGCAACGTGAGGCGTCCCCTATTAATCTAACCTCTTTCTTGTCATTTTGATCCTTTTATCACATTATAAAGGATCCAGCTCTGCATCTTGAAGAAATCACAATTCGTCTCTTTCTCATGTAGATCAGCTTGTCTTTATGATATGACCATCTTACCCTGCTTTCTTTAATTGACATGAAAAAGGGGCACAGCAGGAAGCCAGAACTCATCCAGAATCGTAAAGAAGTTATACAGACAACTGCCACTCTGATTTGCAATGCACTTTTGGCTTGCAGCTCTTCTAAAAGCGTTCACATTGCTTTGATTTAGAGAAAGATATCCATAGATACATATGTGTGTTCATTTGTGAGTGTGTGTGTGTATCTGTGTGAGTAGTTGTGCAGTAAGCGATGAGGGTAATGGTCCCATTCATAGCGGAGGAGTCTGAGGCGACTTTTAACAAGGAGTAGCTGTCTTGAGAGTGTTAAGCCTAAGAGCAGAGGCTTTTCTACCAGAGCTTAGCAAGTGATATTCAAATGGCTTAAAGATTCACATCCTCCCATGCAAAAGATGAAGATGTCACACTTGTAATGGTGGATCTGCATGGTTATCACAAGTCAAAAATATTCTCTAGACCAAAAACGATTGCTTTATCCTGAGAGAATTGACTTGGATAGGGATTGTTTGGCACTGACCTTAAACTCAAAATGTAGCTTTGATCTGTCCTTGTAGCTGCTGCTTATTTAATTATTGTTGTTTTTTTGTGCACAATTGACAGTCTAAAGTTGTCTTTTAGATATAGAAGGCCTATCTTAGTAGTTTTTTTTTAACCTTAGCTTAGACAGCCACTAGCAAGACTTTCAGATTACAAACATGGTCGTCCTGTCAGTCAAATCCAGTCTTGAAATAAAAATAGTATTACTTGACCTACAAAGGGTTCTAGAAATAGTATAATGTATACCAACATGGCTTTTTAATTTCACTTGTAGCCATTTAGCCAATCCAAATTGTACTGTTATAAATGTACAGTCAGATATAAATGACTGTGCCTTCCTTAAGATCTGGACCCCCTTCATTTTTTCACAATTTCTCATACAACTACAAACACTGATACATTATATTAAGATCATAGTGTATAGACCAACATTACATACCAGGTAAAAGCTAACATAACTATTTCCACAAATGAAAATTCATCTCGTTCCAGTCTTTGCCATGAAAAAGAAAAAAAAAACAGAAGCGGTCCTGTGGCAACCGTGGAGAAGATGTGGAGATTCAAACTCTGGTGGGACTTCTGTTGACAGGGCATTTGTTGGATGAGATTATTGAGATTAAGGTACAAAAAAACTGGCATTTATTGACCAAAGTTACATTTAAAAGAAAAAAAGCTGTACTGTTGTAAGCTAAGCTAACAATTCACATGACGTTGAAAAACAGAATTTCCATTGTGACACAGAGCGATGGTGCCAGCATGCTACAGGGATGGATCTTTTTTTGAAGGGACACGAAACTCAGGAATGGAGCTCATTAGAAGATGAGGCATCAAAGGATGGAAAGTGGGACAGGGGTTTGCCTTCCATTAATTACAGCAATCCTAAACATATACTTTTATGTACATCTAGTTAAAATGGCCCAACCAAACTCCAGACCTACATCCAATTTCAGGAGAATCTGTTCCAAAACATCTCAAGTGTTATGGAACAGTTCATGTCAGTTTTTCTCTCAAAATTTGCTGAAGTTTGTAAACATTTTGTGACAACTTGTTAAAAGGTGTTGGGGCTTTGGAATTTTTTGATTTGAGGGATTTTTTTTATTTACTATTTTTGTTTTAACTCATCCAACAAATGGCCAAAGTCAAGATGTAAATATTTTGAGGATAACAGTGGAACATACTGGAGCTGTAGAGCCACTTTGGAGGGCACTATAATAAAGATAGTTTGGAGAATTAGTTCTCTAAGAAAAACAAAATTCCCCTGTAGTCTTATATAGTGATTTAGCATAACCGCTCCTTTCATATAGGTCCATGTGGCTGCAAATGGAAATGGTAGAAAAAAAATAGATTTTTTTGTTCTTTATACTCTGTTGTTAGAAAGCAATGGTGCTAGCCAGCTGGGCTACTTTTATCCAGGCTAGAAATAGTAAAAAACATGTGGTGAAGTCTGCAAAGTGTGAAAGTAAGACAATAACCTGTTCAACATATTCAGAGAATACAATCTTTGAAAATGATTGACAGATTTGAAATACCTCCCCCCCACCCAACACACACACGTGCTGCACTCACATGGCGTTAATTAAGAACCTGTAGTGACGTGACGTTAAACTTAGCGGATAGTTTACTGTGGTGCTTAAAACAGCAAGTTTAAGCGGTATGTTTTTGAAGATTTTGTGCTATAAGTGTGTATGCTGGTTTGAGGCGTATTTGCTGTATGATGCTGTATTTTTTTTTTCTTGACTTAGATTTACCTTTAGATAATTGTAAATACTCCAAATGAAGCTTAAGATAATACATTGGTTCTCTTAGTTTTTTTTTTTTTTTCAATATGTTTGACTGCGATTGCTCTGGCTCACAGTGAGAGACGAAGGGAAATGTCCCTTTTATTGGATCTCTACCTTTTTCCCATGTCTGACTCTCTTCCCTTCGACTGATGTTCACGCAGTGTCCTCGAACAGTCGTCCTCCAGTGTAGTTGCTTGCACATAAATGCTTGCTCACTAGTGGCCACCTTTGCGCCTCCCCCTGGGGGATGAACACACACAAAGACAACACAGGCAGACTGTTTGCCTCTCGCTCTTGATCCCTACATTCTTTCAACCCTTGCACAAATGCACACAAAGCCTTTTTTCCTCCTCCTTCCTTATCGTGTTCATCAAGGTCAGGCTGAAAACAGCAAATTGTATCCCTTAATAAAACACAAATCTATTCAACTTGTCATTATAGGATCTAGTTTGCTTACTTAAGATACAGTGCAGAGATGGATATTCTCCTTTAAATCAGAACAATATCTGCTGAACACATATTTTGACACAAGATAATCAAACTGTATACATGCTGTCATTTAGATATAATGGAAAATTGATTGACATCATCATTTCAATATTAAAGGTGAAACTCCTATTTTATGAAGCACATAGCATTATTGATTTCTGGTCATTTTGATGAAAATGGCTGTCCTTTGTTGATTGTTTCTCTAAAAATGTAAATATTACAAAAGACCAATACAAAAAGAGAACCAAAACAAACAATGAAATGAAAAATGATTATTTATAGTACATGTTAAGCTACTAAAATTATGTTCTGTACTTTTTTAATACTCCAAACTTGATCAGGAATCAATCTGACTGTCTTACTGCAATGAGGAAATCTATGGGTCACTGAAAGCTCTACTCTATTCTCTGCTTAAACTGGACACTATACCCAAAGTTCTGCCTCAAAAATGGCCTCACCTCAAGAAACAAGGACAGTTGTAGCTCACATCCTTAATATCAGTGTGTAACCTGGCTTTGGGATAACTAAGTTTAGGCCCGATTTGGCAAAAACAGCCATTTTATAGAAAACTTTATGCTGGTCAGCATTATATATGGAACCTGAATAGGATCAATTTTTGATGTAAATAATTTCATTTAGGGCTAAAAAATGTTATTTGATTAACAGATTATTAAAATAATAATTCACTAATTTAGTACTTGATTAATCATTTAATAGAGCAGTGATTATACCAAGATTAAAAAAAAAATATATATATATAAACATTTTGCAAAAGATAATTAAAAATCTTTTTTCTGTCAATATGCTTTATCCAGAACTCCTCAAGTTTGCAAGTAGTCTTCTTTAAGGAACCTTTGGCTGTCCGACTATTAATCAATTAATCAAAAAATAATTAAAATATTAATCGATTTGAAAAATAATTGTTAGTTGCAGCCCTAATTTAATTTAATTCTATGTAAATTGATTTGTTTGATAATATATTGATTATGTGATGTATAAATACACTGCAGTAAACAGATTCAAATTAAATAGACTATGCTTCAAAATCCACTCAAGGCTTTGGTTATCCCGCCTAGGGATTAAAAGATGTACTTTTTTATAGCCCAGTTTTTTCTTGCATTCAACTTTCTGTTGATGTTTTTTTTCAACAGAAATTTGTTAAAATCTGTAATAACATTCAGGGCTACTATGATATACTAAGCTAAGAATAAATAATAGTTACATATTAATTTCTATCTATGACTTATCTATCTAAAACCTTGGCACGGCCAAAGGAAAGATCTAGGGTGAAAACCAGAGAGGGCCGTGGTTTCGCTGTGGCTGTGCCCGGACTCTTGAGCAATCGCCACTTGAATATAACAACAGGAAAGTCTCTTTTTATTTAAGTTATTATGTACACTGGCCATTAATTCAAACTGAGCAGATTCACTTATAAATTTTAGCATATTTTGATATCCTCATTTTTTATATTTTCAATTATTATTAGTATGTGCTTTGCATTTGTTATTTTATATATTTATATTATTGTTATTGACAGTGGTATTGACAGTTGGATGTCCTACATAGATAAAATTGATGTTTACAAATAAAATATGAGATTAACTAATTTGGATTACTGACTTAATAAACATATCTAGTTCTTCTTTATTTAGATGCACCTGTATGTTTGTGGTGCTCCTTTCTCCATATGTTGCTCAGTGGTGGTATCTTCATTGAAGTCTTTTTAGATATTTTCTTTCCCTAGCACAGCTGGTCCCCCTCACTTATTCATAAGCTCACCCCAGTGCTCATCAGAT